GAGTGAGCACAAGGCATTCTGCTCCATGCACCCCAATCCTGCCTGGAGAGTAGAGGGGTAGCAGCTCTGAGAGCACCTCCCTATCTCCAGAGCCCTCACAGGGCAAACCCAGGGAAGGAAAGAGCCCTACAGATCCCCCAAAGGGGATGGGGTCCACAAGAATAAAACCAGCCCCCAACATCCCTGGCACGCCCCGACACTTCTGCCTCTCTGGGGCTGCCAGCAAACTGAGAAAACCCGGGATGCAAAGCTTGTGATGGTGATCTGGCTGATGGAAAATCAGCCCTCCAGTGGCTGTAAAGCTGCACACATCCATCCCCTGTTGTCTCAACTCTTTCCTCACTGCTGTTTCTTCAGTAGCTTTGCTGAGAAATAAGAAATAAGCACTGCTCATGATTTTGCCTTCAGCCATACACTGGCCTCTGCCCCAGGTGCTGTTGTAAGCCCTGTCCTGCTCCCTGAAATCTCCCATTCCTCAGGTTACACATCTACCTTTTGTTGTTTCTGCAGAAGCAATTCCTTAGTCAGGAATTGAATAGGGCCAAAAAAAAAAAAAAAAAACAAAAAACACCAAAAAACACTAAAATACCTAGGGGGAAGAAAGGACAAACCCAAACCATGCAATTTTGGAGTTTCCTGAATGAATGAAACATGGCAAACATTTTCAACTGTACCCAAAAATTTATGGAGGAAATACATACATATCTTGAAAGAAATTGTTTTGAAAATGCCACAGCATTCTGTTTCACTGCCTCTCAAACACAACCCTCTGATTTGCTATTTTAAAGTGGCATTTTCCACTCAAAAGAGACATGAAATAAAAGAAAGTGTGAGAAACAAGAGGGGCAACTAACCTCAAAACAAAATGTTACATTCAAAATGCAATTTGGGCTGACCCAAAATAACACATTGGGTTTTATTTCCCATTTCCCCCAAGCAAAAAAAAAAAAAATAGAAAGGAAAAGTTACCATTTATTTTGCTTTGATGCAATCTGGTTCTTTTACTCTCCATTTTCCAGCTCAGCCCCTGAACTGAGGCAGCTATTTTTTCCCCAGGTCTTTCAGAGGTTATATTCTCTCCCTTGTGCCTTCCTGACATGCAGACATGGAGTGAGCAACAAACCTTTGCTCCTTTGGGCCAAACTAAGCCCTCAAGTACCCCATTTTACTCCATCCTTAACTTCCACGTAAGAAGTGAGTCAGTATTATCCAGGCCACCTGACTTCAGAATTTCAAGAGCTTCTAAAATGCTCAATGCAGATTCTGTCTTTGCATGAGTGTGTGAAGCAGGTAGGGTAAGGGCAATCTGTTCATATTTAATCTTTCTACCTCTGTCACATTTACTGTGTGGCTTTGCTGGGTTGATTTGCTCCCGTGGCATAGTTTGCCTAATTCCAGAGCAGAAATGAGCTTTATCAGCACAGCAAGCTGCTGTGCCTACTCATGGGTGAACTTTCCTGAAAACATCACATTAACCACTGCACAGGTGTGCAGCTAAGTTTCTTTCCCTCTACTTCACCATCTACACAACTCCAAAAGGATTTCATGGTCTAAACCTGCCTAACCATGTGTCTCTTTTGTGATGTTACTCTGCTTGCAAGGGCAGCCAAGCTTTGAGAAAAACAGCTTCTCCCCTCCCGCCTTTCCCCTTTACATTTTTGGGGTTTTTTGCACCTTCCTCCGTGGGTTTCCGGCAGTTCCTTCCAGCCCCACAACAGCCAGCTGTGCTCACTGTACCTGTGTGTGTGTGTGATTTTTCACCCCCCAGGAGATTTGTCTACAAGATAAGCACCAGCTTGCGGAAATCCTGTGTCACCGACCTTACGGCAGCTTCTCCTAGAGGGGATCCCAGTGACATTTTGTCCTTCTGGAAGTCTTCCTGACAGACACATCCATGTGTTTTGCACCCCTTGAAAATCTGAAGTAAAGATTTGGGTGCTTTACACCATCTCCACCAACACTGGAGGCTTCACCACTGCTCTGTGGTGGTGGAAGGGAATGTGGTGTCTGGGTTCTGGCCAGGGAATCCTGGACTGAGGTTCTGCATGATGTACCCTAAAGTCACTGCACACTCAGGAGTGATCCCTCTGGGTGGGATTGACAGGAAACTTATCCCTTGAGATCTGGGAGAGATTTGTAACTGAAGTTACAAAGCTTTTAGTTGGGTGATGACTCTGAAGAGAGAAAGGAGCAGTAAAGGGAGGATAAGTTGGGGAGGCTGGTGAGGTGGGTGAGGCACAAGACTCCTGTATGGGAGACTCCTGTCTTCCTGATTGGAAGATCAGATCACTGCAGATGAAGAAGGCCTTGCTGGGAGAAAAATCATATCCAAGAAAAAAAAATGGGACAAAACAATATCCCAAAGATGCTTGTTAGGACTTCAGAATGGAGCTGGGCCTTGGACATGTGGTTGTCCTGAGTTAGAAAGAAGTGGGGTGCAGAATCCCTGTGGGTTTAGAGGAGTTCATGGGCACCTAAGAGCAGGCAGCCCCATTTTAGCCTTTCCAAAGGAGCCACCTTAGTGCCTGGAATTGCAGCCTTCTCCTCAACATCACAGTAAAACTTCCCAATTCCGACTGCTAAATATTGATAACGAAGACACACAAATGCACATAAGAAGACAAAGCCAGGCTCTCCTTTTCCTAAAGCTGGCACTGCATATGAGACAAAGATTTTTCCAACTCCACTCCAACTGAACAGGTATACACATGCATTTCTTTTCCTAGTTTAGAAAAACAAAAATTATTTCTTTGGCTTTTGTTTCAGAAATCACTATGTCGTGGCATTTTTCAGCAAAATGTTTCAATTAGGGTTTTATTGTTCTTTCTTTAATTTTTTTTTTCAAGTAAGATGGATTTAGTATCTTGTTCCAGAGACTCAGCAAGAGAGTAGATCAGAATTTCTAGGAAACTGGGAAGTCTCAAGTGAAATACCTGAGTAGAAAGCAAAGATGTAAGATTGGGGACATGGAAGTAAAAACATTTCCTTTGGGAGGAGAAGCTCTTGTATTCATGGCTTCCAGTTTAAACAGAAATGTCTTTCCTCAGCAATTTTGCATTGCTGGCAACCTGGGAGATGGAGCACAGCTAAAAGAGGGAAATCCCTAGGACTCGATGACAATATTAAGGAATTCCAGAAATCCTCCTACAGGAAACAAAAGTCAAAAAAATGAAAAGGAAAGAGGCCAAAAACATCTTTCAGTTAAAAACCTTCTGTAAGCCATTGTTTTACAGACAAAAAGGTCAAGGGAAACAGTGTCTTCTGGTGGCATATATTCCCATATTTCTTCTTCCTTGTGAGCTTGGCTAGGATATTTGTGTTGAGCCCAGTAACCCCAAAGGAGGCTGAGTAGCATTTACTGCAATGTCTAGACATGGGAGAGCCTTGCCCTCCCAAGTTAGCCCAGGATACTCTCCAACCACTCCAAGGCACTCCAGGAGAGGGATTGCCACTATCTGATTCTTGAAAGAGATTGCAAAAAAATCTTTCCCCTCAACAGTTACAAGTGAAACTGATGTTGAATAGAAGCAGAAGGGAAGTCTCACTCAGGCTGAAGTTTGGGGGTTCCCTCTGTATACCCACAGGCTAATGAAGCTGATGGTCTGATGAAGCAGCTCTTTGGTTCCTGGGAGCCATGGGTATGGAGAAAGAATTTGGCATGAAACCCATGAACCCCAAAAGGAGGTCTCTGTTTCTGCAGGGGTGCACAGCCTGTGGCAAGGTTTCCATAGCTGCAGGGAACGAAGTAAAAGACCAGCTGCTGCTCTCACCATAGTATATATGTCCAAAATAAAGGTGCAGTGGTCTTACTCCTGGTGTATACCACCATACTAGAGAAGAAAAAAATTTCTCCAATAACCTTAATTATCTGGACCTAATCAGATCATTCTTTTCTCAAGGCATGACCAGCCCTTCTCAACCTGCCAACCACTAAGCAAAATTTTCATGCCACGAGGAGCCACCAGATCCTGATCCCTGACCCTGAATAACACGTGGAGGAGGAGCTGGGAGGTAGAAAGTGAGAGCTGCCCATCCCTGAGTTCTGCATCTCCCGGGGTCACGCTGGGTGTTGGACCACAGGGGTTCCTTCACAGCCTCACATCCACCAGGCCACCCCCAATACAGCGCTGGGCTTACTTTTCACAGCCACACACATCGTCAAACATCTCTAATTCAGTGGGAATGAGAGGCTTTAGGATCTGACTTCCATGATTCAGAAGCTTACAATTTTGCGGGACGTGGGTGCGCTTCCCTCACGTGGGACATCTGAAAGGCCAAGGCTTGCTCATCTTCAAAATTACATGTAGGGTTTGGATATCTTTCATGTTGCAGTGCAATTTCCAGGATGAATGCCTGTGCTGCACCCCTTTATGGTAAGTGTGTTTTAATTTAGGCCTGTGTGATGTAAGACCCTGGAAAGCGCATTTAAAATTGAAAAGGCAGCTGGTCCTCAACACTAAAGGCACAAAGACGATACCACAAAACATCTTCTGAAGGGTGTGCCTTCTTCAAACACACCTTCATTAGAAAGATTAAAATTCAGGAGAGAGACAGTACATGTCTTACAGTCATTATTAAAAAAACAAAACCAAAAAAGTCAGTGGAAGCATTATAACTACAAATCTAAGTTTAGTTCTTTATCCAAGTTGCATGTTGGCACAAGTGCAAAGGAAAGAGCTCTTGTTTAGGCAGCAAGTATTTGTAGGTGAAAACACTACTTTAAAGGGTGAAAAACGTGTTTCATCTGTAGAGAGTTATTTTTGAACTTGGAAATCAGGGTATAAAGGATTTTCCTAGGGCGGAAATGCACTTTTACTCAGGCCACACAAGGCAAACGACTACAACCATGTTCTGTTTGATGGGACACCTTCACAGCAGCATTTCATTTTAATCCATGATGATATAAACTATAAGGAGAATATTAGCAGTGTGCTATTTAGGCTTGAAGCATTTAACTTTGCTCCAAAATTCTTCTTAGTTTGGACTAATTCTGGTATGTGTCACAAATATGTTAAAATTTATTTCTGTCCTTTCCAACAGTAAATTATGGAGGAATGGAGGGTCTCAAGTGATTTATGCACCACTCACAGCCAAGCAACTAGACACAAACAAACAAGCACAGGGAATTAAACTCAAGTGGATGTTGTCTTCCTGTCTTAAATGATTCCCAAATGTTCCTGAGTTTGAGTCCTCTTCCAAACATCCAGGTATCTTCTTGGGCTGTAGTTCCTTCTGCTGTAATGGAAGGCCAACACTCTCCTCCACCCCTACAAGTGACTGTGAAGGATATAAATGAAAATTGATTACACAGATACTCTAACTAAATGAAAAGTCACAATATATAATTTATTGTATTTAAATTCTTTTTTTCAAGATCTCATGTTTCTCAGTGATTATCTCCACCTCAATACTTGAAAAATAAATATAAGAAAATACTGTATAATTGAGTGCCATTGTTAAAAGGTCAAAGCCCCTTTTGGGGTAGCTGTGTGCATCCAAGTTACTGTGGAGTTTCCACAGCTTCCTGCAGTAGGAGACATTATGATCAAAGAAAGCTCTGGCTGTGATTTTGGGGGCAGCTAAATGGTAGTGACACAAAGTCCTTACTGCTGCTTGCATTCCTTGGAAAGCACAAGGCAACAGCCTCTGGAGACCTTTCTCAGAAGTTGCCTTGCCCATCCTGGTACTAGGGTAAGTCCATCTGCAGAGGGGAAAGAACTGACCTTGCCACAGGAAGGTGGAAATTATCTCTGCTTTCCACCCTCTGAGGATTTTATAGACAGCCATCCCTGTTTCTATCAAGAAAAAAAAGGCTTGACCTGCTTTGCCTGCAAGCCACAGAGAGCCCAAAATTTAGACTGCCATCTCACAAGATTGTGATCAAGCCTTGTGGGAGAGCTTTCACATATGTTACTTTCTTAGACTGAAAAACATCAAAGAGAAGACCCAACTTTAGAGCTGAGTAGGAACCAATTTATAGGAAGTGTTTCAATGTCACAGCTATTCAGAGCATTTTGTGTGGTAACAAATTAAATACTGGTACTGTGGTAATGTCTTTGGCACAAAGAGAAGCAGTTATGTGCAAGGTATTGCATCCAGACTATGTGGTTATAGAGCAGTTCTTTCACCTCTCCATGAGTTTTGGACTACAACTCCAGTTGTATGGAAGGAACAGATCAGGTGGGAGAGAAGAAGCAGAATGTAAAAAATAAAGGAAGAGCCCAAACTCTGTGATTTAGTTGATGAAGACAAAAATGATAGTATTAAAAAACACCATCATTCACCAAAATGTCATCTTCATAAGCTCTTTAGCTCTCTTTTAATTTTTGTTTGTTTTAGTGGTGCCAAAATGCAGAAATTCATGTCCTCACTGAACACATACATGGTTCCAGGATACATAAATGTTCTCCAGGGCATGAAATCAGAAGGATTGCAAATGAGGATACAGAAGGCAGGAATTTTCCATAAGTCACTGAAGGTCCATAATGGCTATTGGCTATTTGGCTATTTAAAATAAAATATCTCTTCTGGATTGTCTGATCCTGCTGCTACTGCCTTCAGTGGGGCTGAATCAGGCAGTTATCATCAGTGCCATGTAACTCCTCCCTTTCAAACCATCCCTCCAGCCATACTTTGTAAAGCTGCAGTCAAATAATTATCATGTGTAAAAGTACGTGCAGGAGCGGATGAAATTCTCTTCCTAAACATAGCTTACAGCACATCCATTTAAGTGTAAATGCTGGGGTTTCTGGACTTGAAGAGAAAAACAGAATCAAAGGCAAATGTTTACCTGCCATGGATATGGAAGTTTCCTTCATAGTCTCTTTAGTCAAGTACTCCTGGTTAGGGAAGTGAAGCTCATTTTTCAGAATGTTGTCCATTTGCTATTTTCTAAATAATTCTTCTTGGTCACACTAAACCTTAAATTAACCCCCACTCCCACCTGCGTGCAATTTTAGCACGATGGCATTAACTGCAGAAGGAACAAAAAAAGCCCTTCAGCTGCCACTTCAGCATGCCCCATATCTTGGATTGTTTTTACTTTCAGCTTTTAAAGTCAGAACAGGCATCCAGCAATAACCAGCCCTTCTTTTTTCCTCTAAGAGACTGGAGACTCTGCTGTCTTAAACAAGGGAGTTCTGTGAGCAGGATCGAGGTTGTGCTTTTGGTGTTGTAGGTGTGAAGCTCTCATAAGCTGGGCTTGCATTTCTGGGCTTTGTTAAGCCTGGCAGCAAACAGTGCTGGGGATGCAGCTGGCAGTGGGTACCTGGAAGGCCTTACAACCACACACAGAGCAGAGCTGAGAGTCTTCACTCCCTTCTAGATGGAGCTGGCATCCATCCTGGAGTATAGGCACAGTCCCCAAAGGTTTTTGTGTGGAGTGACTAATCACTTTTCTCCTTAGAACTGGGCAGGGAAGCATAATATGTGTGTGATTACCAGAACATAAAAGGAGCACAGGATTATTTTCCATGGGAATCCTTGGGAATGTCTAGGAGGGTGGCTGTCTAAGGAGGTGTTCTCTGCAGGACCATGAAACTCTCCTCCCAGCTTCCTCATCATTGTGCTGCGACTTATCCCAAAGCTATTCAGTGCTGCATGGGGTTAACCATGAGCCTTCTTTAGCTCTAACTCTCCACCTCTGAGTCCTTCCAGGACACTCATAAGCCATGTGCTATATTTGCCTAGCTGGAGTTGTTATGAGGATGTTGACACAAGGGAAAATATCTGCCTGGAGAAGAGGGTGGACTGGCACCCTTTGAAATTAAATATGGCCAAGCATCTGCAAAGGACTGAGTGGGTCAGTGTCACTGAGCATCCCTGAAGCCAAGGGCTGAGCAAATGAGGAGGCAGGCAGGGTACATACAACTCATTTCCCCTGTGTACCACATACCATCAAACATCTGACCCAGCCATGTCAGCATTTCCATATTTCAAATGCTTAATTTAACTCCAGAAGCCTTTCCTGATTGATACCTGTGTGGGGGTTTCTCCCACAACCAGGTCTAGACTGGGTAAACCTGCAATTATAACCACTCAGACACTGAATAGGACCCTGTACTCACAGCAAGACACCGGGTGTGAAAAGGAGGTCAAGCCACAAAAACTGGTTTTGCCAAAGTAGTCAGTCAGCTGTTCATCATGTCACCTGCTGAGGCTGATCAAAGAGCTTTGCAGCAAAGGGAATGTGGGTGTTCAGAGGGGATGGTCTCACAATAGCTGTGAGAGAAAGGGAGGAAAACCCAGGTGAAGTTTGGCTATCAGAAGGCAGCTTTCTGAAATACACTTAAAGGTTCAAACCTACTTGAAATAACTCCAAGGAGTGGAGGAAAAGGTGCTTTTCCGAGATCCATCCACTTTTGTGCTCCCTGAAGTAAAACCAGAATATTTGGCATCTGTTTGTTCAGTTCTCATGAGGCCCTGGAAACAGCTGTATCAAAAATGCAGAAACCTCTCAAGGGTGGAAAGGCATCTTGAGAGTAGAGCAGCCCTTCCCTTGTGCCAAAAGTAGCCTGGCTTTAGGACTAATCCTGAGGTTGCAGTGACACGTGCAATGTTCCTGCACACTTATTTTTCAAATTGTGGGCCAGGGCATGCTGAGTTGGGAATGCACAGGAGTAAAGGAGTGCTGCACAACTGGCAGCAGAAAGAGAAGGTTTTGTAGCAGTTTTTCTTCCCAAGCATTCAGCACAAACAGGTATGCAAAAAAGTTCAAGAAGCAGCTGTGCACCCATCTCTTGTTGAGTCCATGCCAGGGACTTGACTCTAGTGGCACTCCCAAAACCTCCATCCTGCACCACTATGTGTGAAAGAATCACCCCCTGTCTCACTAAACCTGCTAATGCCACCCTCTCACCAGGGTGGAATTTGGGGGTGGGAAGGCTGAAGTGTTGAACTCAAGATTAGAGCATTTTCCTGCTATCTGCACCACAAAGACAATGTGTCATGTGCTTGTGAGACTACGATTTAGGTTTGTTATCATCTCTTTATATCAAAAGGAAGTTATGCACACAAAGGAAACACCAAACCACCATGTCAGGGGGGCTATAAATCACTTACTGCTGAATGTGAAGAGGACAACAGAGTGCCCAGTAGGAAAGCGAGAGTTTTGAAAATACTGCTTTTCCTCACCATCTCCCTATTTCAATAAACTTTGCTTTTATTTTGGAAGAGGATGAAGGAGAGGACGAGGTTTGAGGAACACAGCTACAAATGACACCAGATTTGTCCCATAGGCATGACTCAGGCCTGACTGTGTGCACTGGTCAATGCCTTCCCAGCCCTCAGCACATTTGCTGCTGTTGTCCAAGTTGATCCCATGGTGTCCAGAAAAGCCATAGAGGCAACGGTGCAGAGATCACCTCAATGCTGCCACTTTCTGCCCTAGTAAAATGCAGGTTTATAAAAACCAAAAAATGGAGAAGTGGGATAGTCAGCTCATCTGGCAGCAAGGGTCTGTTCTGTTTGCTTGCTCTGGTCTTACCAGCCTCCAAAAGGACATCCTGGGAAGACTGCAAAGAGCTCTCCACATCCTCTTCCCCTGGCAGGTGCCCAAAAGGATCCCGACAATTCTCCAAACCACATCCTAAAATCCCACTCCCAATGAAAGAAAAAAACTTCTGTATTTCCAAACTCTGTGACCTCCCAAAAAGTGTCAGCCCTGAAAGACATCACTCTGACTGCAAATGTTGCAGATTGTTTCTGTAGCTCTTAAATTCAAAGGAATTATGATGGGAAAAAAATAGAGATGTAATCATTGTTTTTAAAAATATGATTGCTGCTCAAAAGAATTATTGGGGAGGGGGGTAATTGTCTGGAGGATGGCATGATTCAGGACTGCTGACTTCTACTCCTCACTCATTCAAAGTCATCAAGTGAGTCAGTGGAAAAATCATTGAATTCAGCACAGTCAACAGGGTACCAACATTCATATTTAGGTTCCTAAATCAACAGTGTGGAAGATTTCAGCTCAAAGGCTGAAAGGTTCTACAAGTGAAGGCAGGAGGCTACACTGCAAGCCTTCAGTAAATGCCATCCTAAACTCTGACACTTCAAATTCCAGTGGTTCTCACCCTAAATAAGTGTAACAGCACTCAGGGAAGTTTATTCCAAACCAAGCAGCAACAGGGTTCTCCGCAGCAGCTGAAGTATTACTCTGCAAAATAAATGTTTCTTTTGAATATAAAACACAGGACAGTCATAGCAGGCAAATCGTTAGTATGCAGGAGCTGCTGCCTTGAAGGTCTGCCACCAAAGGCTAATTAATTCTAGGTACCTTAACGATCACATCCCAGGGAAGTGCTATTCTGTGTCTGAGCAGAAGCTCTGTGCACAAACAACGCAAGGCACAAACAGAAATCACACCTCTGAGAGAGAGCCTTTTCATTCAGAAAAGTCAGTCAGCTCCAACACGCTACTTACAAGAACCGTCACAGTAACCTGAATATTAGAAAAATAAAATTCAATACCTCGGTGAAAGTAACAGTAAGAGGGTTGTGCAGTGAGTGAGAGAAATCATTAAGAGAATAAATTGCTTAGCAGCCTGCAAATTGGCAGGACAGTGAAAGCAGAGATCAAATAAGAAATCCTGCAAATCCACAGGAAATGACTCAAGAAGCTAGATCGAGTAAAACTTCAGCCTCCAAGCCTCAGACACATTTACTTCTCCCCATCGGGGTAAATACGCACATGGACAACACAAACACATAAAAATACATCCAGATCACACAGACAAGCTCTCAAGTGTTAATCAGACAGTGATTAATACCCAGTCCACCTCAGAGGTATAACCATTATAATGGCTTTTTAATTACACGATTGTGCCCTGGGTTTTTCACAGGGCTATAACTCTCCCCATATTCTGCTTCTGTAGGATCCAACTGCTAAATGCCACACTCTCCACTTCAGCAACATCAGTGTTCCCGCTGATCACAGACATTTTTGGCATGAAAAATCTTGAGGATGTCAGAGGTCTGTGCAATCTCAGCATCCTTTGGGGGAAAAAGAGACATAGGATGGGTGGAACTGTGTCAAATCATTACATCTGGTCTTTTATTGTACAGCAGCTGAAGACGTTCCTGCCATTTCCTTGCCCCCAACTGCTCACTCCTGCTCTGACACTTCCTTTAGCTGCCAGCTCAGATTTGCCAAGATGTTTATCATGCCATTCTGCAAGATGGATCCTTGAATAACTTTCCAAAAGAAAGAGGTATTGGGGAGTATTATTAGCTGGGCCATTTAGCAGCTCCAGCAGTGTCACTCCTCAGCAGGGGATGCATTAGCGTAGCCAAGGGGGTGACAAACTGTGCTTTGCAAAGGAATGGGTGGGAAGTGGGTGTGGGGATAGGCAGCATTGCCACCCAAAAGAGCACCAATAATCTGCCAGAGGGAGGGCAGCAGGCTTGCACTCTCACACATTATCTGGTGTTATGGCCAAACCTCTAGCAGCGACAGGAACGTTCCTGTAATGTTGTGCCACAAAGCTGCAGATTCTGGTACCACCTCTGAAGGACATGCTGCTTCTCCCTGAGGAGAAGACCTCAAAGCTTTCATCAGCTCTTGCTTCTATCTCATTACTAGCAGTCCACAGATTTCTCTCCGAGTTTCCGCTTCTGTTCCTGAAAAGAAAATGTACAGCACTTAGAAACTGAAACCCTGCAGAGCAGAAACACAATTTCCACGCCAAAATCTGAAGGCCCCTTCAAGACTAAATCCCATAAATTGGACTTGAAAGTTGAATACTTGAAATCAGTATGTGACTCCCTAAGGAACTGCAGCCATATGGAGACTGAATGTCCCAATGCAGTGAGAGCAGAGATGGCACATCTCCCTACCTGCAGTGGGAAAGGGATGCTGCAGTGGAGGAGCCTGCAAAAGCTGGAGAGCAAGGTGATGTGCTTAGGTGGTACAGACACATTTCTTCTCCCAGGACTGCCCGATCACAGAGGACCTGATGGGGGAAGCAAAACCAAAACTCACAGCTAGTGACTTAACTTCATGGGCCAGACTATCTTTTCAATAGTCAGCTCCTGTTACCCCTCCTGGCCTGAGGGCAGATGTCACGGTGTAGCTACAAACACAACACAAGTTGACAGAGTGTTTACAGTTATGGCACTGTTCATTGCAGATAAAAACATTTGAACTGACCTACGAGAAAAGATGTACTATGTTACCAGCATGGACCGCACAGAAATTCTGAATGTGGCTCTAAGGGGCGATTTGAGCTCTCATAGAGGGCAAAGTGGGGTGGGAAGAAAACAGCACCTGAACCTCGAGACATGGGGACAACATTAGCTCCCTGGGCTTCTTCTACTGACCAGCTACCAGACCACTCACTGGGCACACAGCATCATGGTATGGAAACGCTTCCTATGGATCTCATCAGCCACGATGAGGAGCTGCACTGAGCCAGGATGCCCTGGGTCAGGGCAAGCTGAGCCAGGCTGGGAGAAGTCAGGTTGAGGTGAGCCAAGATATCCAGAGAAGGGCGACAAAGCTGGTGAAGGGTCTGGAGCACAAGTCTCATGAGGAGTGCCTGAGAAAAGGAGACTCAGGGGTGACCTTATCACTTTCTACAACTATTTGAAAGGAGCATCTGGCAAGGTTGGGGTTGGCCTCTTCTCCAAGTCAGGCAGTGACAGGACAAGAAGGCACACTCTTATAGTTTCAGGTTGGACATTAGGAGGAATTTCTTCACAGCATGGGTCATTAGACATTGGAATGGTCTGCCCGGGGAGGTGCTGGAGCCACTGTCCCCAGAGATGTCTAAAGGAAGACTGGAGTGGCTCTCAGCGCCGCGGTCTGACTGACCCGGTGCTCGCTCATCGGTTGGACTCGATGATCTCAGAGGACTTTTTCAGCCTAATTCCGTGATTTTTAAGCGCGGCCTGGCAGGGCTGAGTGGGGCCGCGTGAGGCTGAACGCGGGGAGCCGAGCCGGGCCGGGCCGAGCCGAGCCGGGCCGGGCCGAGCCGGGCCGAGCCGAGCCGAGCCGAGCCGAGCCGGGCCGGGCCGCAGGGCATTAGCCGCAGCCGGGCGGGCCCCGCGGCTCCGGCCGGGCCGGGAGCAGCGGCGGGCGGGGCGCGGGGGCTGCGGCGCGGGGGGCGGCGCCAGCGGGCGGAGGCGAGCGCGGCGGGACCGCACCCGGGGCGCTGCGCTGCGCCGCGGGGGCTCGGGGGGCCGGGCCGGGGCGGCGCCACCGCCGCCCGCGTCTCCTCCTTCCCCGCCGCCGCCGCTGCGGCTCCCTCCCTCCCTCCCTCCTCCCGCCCGGCTCCGGCGCTGCCCTGCCCGCTCCCGGCGGCCGCGGCAGCGCCGCCGCTTCCTGCCGGGGCTCCCCGCTCCCTTCCCTCCCCGCTCCCTCCGCCGCCCCCCGCGGCGCCCCGCCATGGCGTGATCGCGGCCATGGGGCTGGCCCGGCGCCGCCGCCTGCCCCCGGGCGCTGCGCCGCTCCCCCGGGCCCGGACCCCGCGCCGCCGCCGCCGCCGCCGCGCCCCGCCGCGCCCCCGCGGCGCGCTGACCGCCGCCTCTCCTCCTCCTCCTCCGCCCCCGGCCGCCGCCGCCCGGCGACGAGCGCGGCCGTAGTCCCCCCCCCGTTCTTCCCCCACCCCCCGCCGCCGCCCGCGCTCCCGCGCCGTCGGGCCCGGCGCGGCCGCCAGCCCCGGCCCGCCGCGGCGCGGCCTCCCTCGCCATGTGAAGCTCGGGAAGATGCGGAGGCGCAGCCCGGCCGCCCGCGGCGAGGGATGAGCCTAGACGGGGAGAAGATGACCGAGGAAGCCTACCCTGACGAGTGAGCGGGGCCGGGGGCGGCGGGCGGCTGGGGGGCACGGAACGGGGGGCAGCCTTTGTTGCCCCGGGTCGCTCATCCCCGTGCGCCGTGCACGCAGGGACGGACGGACCGGCCGCGGGCGGACGGACGGACGGAGGGACGCGGACACGCGCGTTCGTGTGCGCGCCGCCCGCCCGCGCATCCGCCATTTCGCGCTCCCCCCGGGCCGCGCTCATTTGCATACGGCCCTTTCATTCATAAAAACCCCCGTGAGGGCGGCGCGGCCCCGCCGGGGTGCGGGGCCCCGGGGCACCGCAGGGAGGAGGGGGCGCCGCCGCCGCCGCTCCCCGCCCCGGCCCCGGGGCTCGGGGCGCCCGGCGGGGGCGGTCGGAGGCGGAAGCGGCGGGGAGCGGAGGGGGGAGCGGAGCGGTGCGCGCCGCCGCCGCGCAGCCCCGGGCCCGGGGTGGGGGTCGGGAAGCGGAGCTGGGATGGCGGGGGGGACACACGACGTCGCGGATCCCCGCCCCGGCCGCCGCCGTTTTGTGAATAGGAGGGCGGCCGCCGCCGCCGTCACATGACGGCGCATTCATAAACCCGGTCACCGGCGGCCTCCCCATTCACCCCCACCGCCCACCCCCGCTCCGCAGCGCTGCCGCCGCCTCCCCGCTAATAAACCCCCCGAGAGGCTTTCAAAATGCCCTTTTCCCTTTTTTTTTTTTATTTTTTTTTTTTTAAATGCTTTCTTCCCCAAAATAAAACCTAAAGCTACTGCAGCGGAATGGCAGGAAGGGCTTTTTCACGCCGTGCTGGCCCAAGGGCTCTTCCTGGCTATCTCCTCCGGGGTTTTGACAGTCAAGAGGAATGACTCACCGGCGTGCAGGACTGGGTTGGTGCCAAGCGCCATAGGATGTACCGTGCTTTAAAACGACTCCTTGCAGGGCTTACAGCGTCAAAATTGTGCAACTTTTTGGCTCGGTGTTGAGGTCCGAAAAAATATCATAATGGGTGGCATGTGCCCTGCTTGCACCTTCATCATGGTAAACTTATTTTAGGGTGATTTATTGCAGAAATACGAGTGGTGAAGGAAATGGCTTCTGCCCCCAACGTGTGTGTTGAGAGGAATTGTTATTTTGGCAGCTATTAATGAAGAGATTATAAATATGTGTTTACATGTAGCTTCTAAAATCGTGGTTATTTTGAAGTTGGTAAGGTTCTTGCAACAACAACAAAAGAAAGAAAAACCAAAACAAGCAAAAAAAAAAAAACCAAACAAAAAAATACCAAAAGAGAAGTAGCTGCACACAGATTGCTTTGACCTAACAGGCTGGAAAAATGTGGCCAACTCATTTCCAATAAAAACCCGGTTCTTCATTTGGTTTGTTTGGGGGTTTTTTAAAATTTTGTAAATTGGACAAGAGGAGGAGAAGCGGGTCCCTGTCTCTGGGTTTGAGAACACGGGGCCAAACCTAACCCAATTCATTGGACAAAAATCTGGCGCTAACCAGCCTTCATTTTGAGGCAAGATACCGCTCCAAATGTGTTTTCCTGCAGGGCTCGGTGCAGAGGTGAGTGTTGGTGTAAAACACTGAGCACTTGGCTCTGATGGTTAGGTGGGGGATTTTTTTTCCCCTGACTGTAGGCTGCAGTTTGTTTTGGGAGTGAATTTTTCCATGTGCTGCTGCACTGCCATGCTGACAGAGGCTTCAGCTAATGGTTTTCATGTGCGTGGAAGCTCTTGGGTCTTGCCACCTCTCCTGGGGTCACCTGTCAAGCCAGCAGCACTGTGTGCTTTGGTCCCTTAGAGATTGGGAGTGCTGGTGACTGTAGGGAGCTGGTAACCAACCCATTCCCAGGCCACTGGAAGCTTTTTTGTTGGTGTCTGGATGCGTTGACTTTCAGGGTCAGTGATGCCTCGTGGTCCTTGCCTCAGTGCACATCCCAAGTGGCTCTCCTGGAGGCCGTGGTTGGGCTGCCAGAGTTTAGTGCTGGCCTTGGCTTTGTAGGGCACGGCGAGGTGTTTTAGGTAAGCCATGGTTTCCTCTGTAAGCTCCTCGCTTCCAGCCTTGCATTGATTGATAGCGTTGCTGAAGTCGGTGACTCATGGGTTGTTTTTTCATTTCAGTGGTGGGTGAAGTGATTTGATTTTTTTTTTTTCTCCAATATATATGGTGTTAAAAGAAATAAGGACAGGCTCTCCTGATAAGTTTTCTCAAGCTGTCAGAACAATGGTAGTGTAGCACGCTATTTGCCCTAGATATCTGGCTTTAATTTGCATAGCTATTCTTGTTTCACTGGGTGCACTGTGAGCAAATGTTAACAGCCAGATTACAAAAAAAAAAAAAAAAAAAGGACCACTGTCAGGATGCCTTTTAAAATAACCCTCTTCAAGTAAATAAAAAGCGAGAAGGGAAACAAACAGGGTTTAGGATGCTGGAAACTCATCGGTCCCTTCAGAACTGCACCATTTTGGGTCGATACTCAGAGGTCAGTTTGTCATTGCCAAGCCAGCGCCTCTTGCTGCATCTCAGCATTTACTTCTGCTTCCCTGCTCGGCCCTGGCTCAGCCCGTGCTGCCTCGCACGTTTCGGGCTGAGGGCAGATCGGGGATGCCAGGTCATAAATCAGAGCCTGCGAGGCTGGACCTGAGCGCTGGGGGGGATTTTTTGGGCAGAAGACGTGGGCGACCCTACTCCGAAACCATCGCGGTTGGGCTGCCCGTGGCCTTTCAGCCTGCGAGGAGGAGAGAATGGAGCAGAACCCTCTCACTGAAGTGATTCGGGTCGTGGCCGGAGGCTGCCGCCTGCTCGTTCCGATGCACGGTTCCAAGAAAGTCGCAGGAAGTAATTAAATGGAAAAGGTCAGGGAACGAGGAAGTGTCAGTGCTCAGCTTGGCGCTGCTGGGATGGAGCCGCGATGCCCTGGCCGGGCTGTGTCCCAGGGATGTCCCTGGGTGTCCCCTCCACTCTAGCACACTCCTGCTTTGCTCCAGTGGGACTGGTCCCCCGGAGCTTTTGAACGAGCTGGATTAAATGGCATATTCATAGTGTTGCTGTGGTGGTGTCCCAGACAGCAAAATACGGTGTGAGCTCACACCAGTGTGTTTTTCCAGTCTTGCTCTTGATGCTTCTTTTTGACCCAAAATCTCATCCCCCCACCACATCTGAGCAGACACCAGCGATGTTCGCTCTAAACACTAAATCCAGCAGCATTGCAGATTGCCCATTGTGCTGAAAAAAAATATTTCACTCCCATTTTTGCCCCATTCTGATAATTCTCCTGTAAGTATTACAGGCAGCTCATTCAGCACAATTATTTTGCTGCAAGTTTCAGCCAGGGAGGAAGGCATGGGACACACTGTGTGTTATGACATTATTGCTCGCAAATAGGACAGGAAATGAAGGATTGCCAAAATATAACTGTTTATTTCTTGGCCTGAAAACATGCCTGTTTAAAATCTGACATGTAAGTAGCTGCTTTGTTCGGTCTCTGGGAGAAGTTGTTGTTTATAAGGGAATAGTAGATCTGTCAGATGAAGAAGAGGAGGAAAGAATGAAGGGATTTGCCCTTTCCACTCTTTCTACTTCTGTTTTGGAAATGCCTTGAAAAGAAGTTGTAGGTGGAAGATGTATGGAGAGCGTGTTGGGTCAGACAGCTGGAAGGGAAGAGGGTTGCCACAAGAGGAAGGGAGCTGGATTTTTAATTTCTCAGCACATTAGACCCTGATGTGGCCCTGTGCAGCCCATGGATAACCCAGATGCAGCACTGAAAATGAGAAACCAAAGCAACCTGCCTTTGGGCCAGAAAGTGAAGTTTTTTGGTGCAGCTCCCCTCCTTGAGTGCAGTGGGACAGTGTTTGAGTGCGGCACAGATGCTGCACCAGCACTAGAATCATCTTTGACCTGTTTTTGCAGCCTGTTTTTTTATCTCACTGAGGCACACCCTGGAGCGTGGGTTAAAAGGTAGGTTTTATCTACCTGTTTAATTAAATCCTGAGGCTGCAAACAAAAGTGCGTTGTGTGGCAAGGCTCGCTCTTAACGTGGGCTTGGTTTGCTGTTCGCTGGATTTAAACCACAAAATTGTTTCCTGTCGGCCACCAAATTGCAGGGAGATGTCCTCCTTCTTCGGGACCAGGCTGGAAAATAGGAGCTCAGAAATGAGACACAACATAACTACTGGTTTTAGTCACTCATTTTTCTTTCTTACACGCTCTGGCATACTTGAGAAATCGATACATTCCGTTTCCTTCCCTCCAGGAGAATGGACATAGGAACTGCTCCCTACAACAAATTCATTGAAAAGTGTGGCTTTTTTGTTTTTCTCTTTTTTTCTCCCTTTTTAACAGCACAAGGTGATCTTTCTTGCAAGAACTGTGCAGGGGTGGAGAGGGCACAGAGATCAGTGAAACTAAAAGTACAGCTCTGGAGACTGTGTTTTTGATATATGCCCTGTTTGCTAAGTGGAGCATTTGCTTTTTGTAGGACTTAGGCTTCTAAAGCAGTGTAGAATTTAAAAAAGAAGTAAAATAGAAAAGGTCAGTTGACTAAAAAAGGCACAGATAGACTGTGGAGTTGATTGACAAGAGATAGGAACTGCAGCAGGTCCCCATTTCTGTAGACTACCAAAAGCAAGTAAGAAGCTGTTATCACATAAATCCCAGCTCTGCTGAGAGAGGTCTGCTCCAAGCCTGGCAGCAAGCAGGGCAGGGCAGCATCTCCCAGCATCTTGCTTGCACTGGCCATTTCTTTCCACTTTAACCATAGGTAAACTCAGCTGATGGTTTCTAATGATTTCTTTTTTTCTTTTTTTTTTTTGTTTCTTTTCTTACCTATTGGTTTTCTGCCAAGATCTTCTGAGTTTTCCTTCCTTCCCGTTTCTCTACCCACGTCCACCCCCTTTCCTTGTCAAATTTCCTTTAATCATTTATTTTTCTGGTGCTTGCTCAGTGCTGTAAACCTGACCCTCTCAAGCTGCAGAGAAATGCAGCTGGGCTCTGCTGGCCGTCTTCTCTCTGCATCTGACCCTCACCTTGGTTTTGCACCAGCTCTTGGGAGCAAAGGCTGGGTTTGCCCATGTGGTTTCTCAGGATTTGGTTCCTTGCAGGGCAGGGAAAACCATCTGCTGGCCCTCACTGCTGGATGAGTGGAAGCCATGGAGCTGCAGGATGGAGCTGGGATGAGGGGCAAGCCCTGCTGATGCAGCAAGAGCAGCAAAGCAATGCTGCACTACTGCTGCACTTCTGCCCACCAGCACAGCTGTTCTGGGATGTTTATCACCATCAGTTTTGGTACCCACAAATGCTCCCAAACCTCTTTTTTTCTGCTTCAGCTTGATGTCAGATAAGTGTTGTGTGGGCAGGTAGGCATCATCTCAAAGTCCAGGAGGATGTCTTCACTCCATCTCATTTTCTGTCTCCATTTCCTTTTCTCTGCTCTCTGGAGGGTATTGTTTTCTTTATTGCCGATTTTATTTCTATTCCTTGTCTGGCAGCAGGACTTGTACAACTCGTGCTGCAGGCAAACCCTCATGGCAGTATTTTCTCCTCACTTCAGGGGAAGGTGATCCTACAACATGCACCCAGTGGAGTATAACACTGT